GAACTGCCCATCCATTACATTTCAATTTCTATTATGGAAAGATGAAGAGAATTTGCCCATTGGGCAATTCCCATTGCCAAGACTGAGAAAGAAGCATTCAAGGACCTAACTTACCGTTGAACTGGTGTTTACTGAATTGAAGCACCACTGCTTACCATAAGACTGGGGAACGGGAATCAAAACTCTTGGGGTCCTTTATTTTCTCTGTCATTCTTGATTACGGACTTACTGACTTTTCTCATGTAATATAGCAAATATATCAAATGGGTTCTGTTTGGCATTTTCCTTAGTTTAACTGTTACTGTGATTTTAGAGCATTTAAAACTTTTCTTTAGTTTGCTGCAGATGCACAGACCTTGAGCAAATTACTTTGATTCCCGTACCACAAGTCCCCGACTGTAGCACTGCCCTACCTTGCAGGTAGATTTTTTTGGTCTTTATCACAAATATTAGGGAATATGCAGATACTAGGAGCTCTAAGCACTATGAGAAGAAAACGGGTGCTGGCTTCTTCCTTCAGGACAAATCTTCATTAGGTTAGTGGACCTTAGCTGGACAGGGGTTTCTATTGACCCCTCTTGGAGTGACACATGTCAGCAGGATTTAGGATCAGCAGGATTTTTTGATGTGGAAGGGAAGAGCAGTAAGTAGTTGCTGAGCTGACAGTATTCAAAAGACTGGTTCTGTGCTTCCAGCTCTTGTGGACTTTGCTACCATCTTTCCTGTCCAAACAGGCAAGATACTGGCTTCTGAATTATTTTTTTGGAACAGTACTAATGACACAAATAAAGGAGGATGAAATCTTCCAGTTCCAATGTCAAGTTATTTACACAAAAAGTCTCCTGCTAGAGCAACTGAGCCGGATCATCAGCTCTTTGTTGCTTGCATTGGGCATATAGGGTTCTCAAGTCAAGAAGATATAAAACTATAACATTTGGACTCTGCTGTGAGCTCTGTAGTGCTCTTCCAACCTCTGGGCAGCACAGAGTGCCTTCCACACTTAATTAGCTTAGGCACAGAAGGAGGAACCATCTATCAAAATTTTAGTAGCCTTGAGCCTACCCTAAATTATACTGGGTGCATCTGGTGCCTCTCCATTTGAGGCTTTAAGTTCACACCTTTCTTGTTCTTCTGAACCTCCTGATTCAGAGCTCAAGAAAGTTTGGACAAAGCCAGTCTTGTTTTTCCTGCTTATGCTTCAGGCTTGGTGTCGGCGTCATATATGAAGAGCAAGGGGGAGCTCCCTTTGAATCAGCTCTCACTGGTAAACGACATTATGAACTCGTGGTTGTAGTTGACCTTCCAACTCTTGTGAAAGTGATTTCAGAGTTTATGAGGATTTAGAGCTCAATCAAGCTGATGTGACTATTATCAGAAGTAAACAATACTTAAATCAAACATAATACTTCTTCTGAAAACTAAACACCATGCATTGACAGGTGAGGAATTTCAATGGGAATTTTTCCTCCTTTCCCTCCATATAAGGTTGCTGTTCAACTGTCCACACCAAATGCTGATATGAACAAATACTGAAAGAGGAAAGGAACTGGGGTTTTGCCTTTTGGAAAGGCTATCTATTAAATTCTTTAAACGGTTGAGTTGAAATACAAAATATATGTTTTAAATACTTATGTATCTATATGGACCCCACTCCCACCCCACTCCTCTCAGCTGAAACGGAACCTTGGAACTGCACAAAAGGGTCCACAACCAAAATTGTAGCTCAAATATTGTTACAATTGAAATGTGATGTTGGCAGAGACAAGACAGAACTAATTTAATTTTTCCTGTCAGTCTGTGTAATAGATCAATTAAACTACCAAGTGGATCAAATATTTCAGACTGTATTTATTACATTAAGTATTTATGTTCAGGCTGAGCATTTAAAGTATGATCTCATATAGGAATACAACGAGGTTCAGATCAATTCAGCAGAATTTGCTGTAACTTAATGGAAATCTAATTGTGTATTTTAATTTTGTGTAAAGGAGGCAGTAAGTTCCTGAAAGAAAGAAAATGGTACCCTGTCCATATTGTAGCAACTTGATCCAAATCCCATTAAAGCAGTGTCAGACTGTCATAGATGTTAGTGGAAGCTGGATCAAGATCTAGGGCTAATGGCTTAACCCTCACTAATTTGATGGGAGCTAGGTGCCTAAACTCCTCTGAGGATCCAAAATAAGTAGGAACGATTCCTTCCCTCCACACTGTGGACTCAGGGTTACTGCAGTAAGATGTAAAAAAACATTGATGTCTGCTATATGTGGATGCCTCTTTCTTGGTGCAAGTCAGATCCCTGTCCATTGTGGGCTGACTGACAGGCAGTTGGAGACCTTGGGCTCCTGATTCTCCCATCATTCGTCTTGGCTTTCGTGCCAGCAAAGTCCGATAGGTTTCACTGGACTTACTACCCACAGACACAGGCAATTGTAAAGCAGATTCAACCTTCTTTTTACATTAAAAAGAAATAGGGATAAATCCTACTTTCATGTATTTTAGCTGGTCCCTGGAGCAAATGACGCTTGTTACTTTGCATTTTTTTCAGGTGTGAGCTGTTGTTTGCAAGTGTTTTAACTTCAGTGAAAATGAAAGGAATAGTTTATGGGTGAATTATTGCTAGAGATAGTGTAGTTTCCACCACAGGTAACTCTGCACCCTCAGGTTGCAGAGCCACTGGGTAATACCAGGTCTAATTATTAAGCAAAGAGCTTAGATTAGTACTGTAGACTGATAAATATTTTATCCCTCTCTAATAATGGAATGAAAATTATTCTTGGAGAGGCAGCTGATTCCTGCTTTTTTGTAAAAGGGAAGACTTTTCCACTTCTCCTCACCTCCCACTAAGCAGACAATGTCTGTGCTGGACCCTGTGTTGGGTATCACAGATGGGCCAGCCTTCCCCTCAGCCTGGAAGCTGAACAGCCGCATTTGAAAGTCTCACTTCGTTTGTTTTAGAAAGCAGCGGTGCAAAGACAGCTGATGCACAGGCAGGCCCCCATGCTCCCACATTTCAGAGCTGAACCCTAAGGTAATGAAAAAACAGTGTGGTTTCTGCAGCTAAAGACCTTCTGCAAACAGTAAGGACTCTGAAGTGCCGATCATCCTCTCCTCCCTCTTGTTAAAACAGTGGCCATCCAACACACCTGAAATGGCTGCAATTCAGCAGGGCAAAAATGACTTTATCTGCTCAAAGCAGATGCAGAATTCAAGATTGAGCTTCCTAGTGCTAAAAGCAAAAAATTGAAGATTTTAGTCAAGTGCTGAAACTTGTTTGTGTGATTCATTTGAATGCCTGGATCCATGGAAATGTTGGTCTGCTGATCATATGCTATGTCAGAGAAGTATTACAAGAGAAAATAAGACTTTCCAGTTACTTTAATAACTTGTCCCTTGTCAGTTGTGTTTTTTAAAATGCAAAAAGTATTTTTTCCTAAACGTTACCTGCAAGCTGCTAATCTCTGACAATTGCTGTGAAGTCTTGCCAACATCCTAAAAACAAACAACTGTCTGCCTTCATCCCTAGCAGATGGGTGCTGACCCGTTGCTTCTGAAAGCAGAAGTGTAAAAGAAAGACTACCTGCTCCCTGCAGGTTATTAGTTCCATCACTTAGTCATGAGCCATTTAACTCAAATATTAACTGCAGGAATTAAAGCAAGTCCTTGGCTTGGAAAGATCAGAGGAAGACATTGCATCGTGTCAGAATGTGTGTGGCCAGGCTCTTTCTTGTTGGGAGGCAGCATATCGGCAAAGGACAGGCTTTTACCAGGGGTGTAGGAGAGGATGTAGAGCTTATGTGGCCTCTGAGACCTCTGTAAAAATGGTGCAACTCAGTGTTTCTCACCAGAGAGCAAATTAAAGTAGTAGCTCAGCCATCCTCCCCTACCTGCCCTCCCCACTCCTCTGACACATTCTCCTTCATTCAATAGATGCATATAAACTAGGTACCAGGGTGGCTTTTTGGGTGGACTGCGTGTCCTGCCCAGTGATCAACCTATACTTTACAGACGTGCTCGTTTGAGAACTGGCCCAAGTCCCAGATTACCGAAAACAAGCCAGAGGAAGAGCCTGCAGTGGTCCAGCTCAGGAAGCCAGCTGGTGGATTGAAGACTGCCTCTGGCAGTGGGTTGCAGGTTAGCCTTTTGGCACAAAGGGAGAGGAATACCCATTTCACTCTTTCTCCAGTCTTTTATTGCCTGCTTGGGACAGCCCATGTGTCTCAGATGACAGGATAGAGATGGTCTGGCCCATCTCTGAATGGACTCTTAAGCCATGCCAGCAGTAGCAGCTTTAGGTGGCCTTGGCTCACTTCTGGAGGCTGTTCTCTTTGAGGTGTCATCCTGAAGCAGCACAGGCATTGGATGGGTGGAGGTAGAACAGAATCCTGCAGGTAGGCATGATGCCAATAGTTAGCAGGAGCTTGGCCGAGGAAAAGCCTATGTCTTTTTACAGTGAGATGGGAGAAGGTCATTAGGTCCTGCATAATAACCAGGATATTTTCACCTTTCTCTCTGCAGTGATCTTTCAGGTGTAGATAAGTGAAGGGATCTCCACACCCACCCAACAAATGCAGCTGCCCAAATTGATCAGGCTTCAGTGCGCAGGTGGAGGGCAGGGGACACTTCCAGCATGGGGCTGATGGTAGCCACAGAGCAGCAGCTTGGTATGTGAGCAGGGGAGGAGCTCAGCCTCACTTACGGGGAAATCTCATGTGTGATCTCAGCTTCACTGCTTGCTTCTGAGTCTGTTTGTCCTCACTCACTCTGGGTGGCTCACACTGTAAGATTCTTCACGGTGGGCCTCAGCAGAATAGGATCTGCCTTTTGTGCCCTGATCCAGAGATCATCTATGTACCCACTACAGGTCAACAGGGGAGGGGATTATTGCCATTCAAGACCCAAACCCCATCTCTGCTTTCTCCAGATTGACTGTGGAGAGGACAGTGAGACAGTTCCCATGACCTTCCCCATCAGTGATGGTGCCTTGTCTCCTTCCTCCCCAGGGAGCCCGCTGTGCTCGTGCTGCGTTCCAGACCCCATGGGCCTCTCCTTCCTGCCCACCTATGGCTGCCAAAGCAACCGCACTGCCAGCGTGGCTGCGCTGCGCATGAAGGCCCGGGAGCACTCGGAGGCTGTGCTCCAGTCTGCCAACCTCCTGCCCGCCGCCAGCAGCAGCCCCACTCCTCCCGCCAAACCTGGCCCCGAGGGCGGCCAGGACAAACAGCCCTCTCCGGCCAAGGAGCACATGGAAGGAGAGAAGAGCGTATGAGCCCGGACTGGCTCCGGCCCCTCAGCTTAGGGCAGGGACCTGCTGCCAAGGCTCTGCCACGGGGTGAACTGCAGCATGGCCGTGCCCCGGCAGGACATCATGGGGCAACCAGGACCCGGCAAATCTGAGTGGCCTCTTCGGCTGCCTTTCGTGCACCCTTGCTTTTCTTGTGCTGCTGTAGGTTCATTCCCCTGATTTATTGGCACTCTCTGTGTTTGGAAACATTTGTGAAACTGTTTTTAGCCCTCCCTCCACATCCCAGGGACACCAAAACGCCCAGGATCCTGGCTTGCTCCCTCACATCCTGGATTCCCATCCCGCATGAGATGGAGGGCTGGCAGGAGGGCAGTGCTTCCAGAGGCAAGGTCTGGGGCAGGAGAGACGTTCAGGCATCGTTTACCCCAACGCACACAGCGGAGGTGAAGGAATACCCAGGTGTATACCAGTCTGGCCTGCTGTTTCCTGATGGCGTTTGACTTCAACCAAATCTATCCCAGGTAAGCCAGGCGTAAGAGAAGCAGGAAACAGAACAAAACTCTTCATATTTTTTTTCCTTCTCCCTTCTTTTCCCTGGAAGTGAAACTTCCCATGGAGTAGATTACTGGGAAATTGCTGAGATCAGTTTCTATGTGAATAAAATCCTTGCACTAGTCTCTACGCGAACGTTAGTCTGTTAGTCTTGCCATTCCCTGGGTTAGACATAAGAGACACATGACTCCAGAGCAGCATTCGTAGCTTCAAACAGTAATACTGGTATTTAATGGAGAGTGCAGTTGTGTCTAAATCTGCACAAAGCTGGGGGTATTTTAGCATCATTCTCTTGGAAAGAAAGACTGGAAAGCAAAATAGTCCTACGTTACAACACCGCAAATATGTCCTTGCATGTTTTGTTTTTAATAAAGAGGAAATAAAGCTTGGAAGGATATTCCTTTATGCCATCCAAAATCAGATTATTCCATTCACTGAAGGCTTGTTGTAGTGAATCTAGATATGGAAATGTCTTAATTATTACAGAGTGGGCACAGTGCAAAGGAGAAATTATTGCCTCAGGAGATATAGTCTTATCTCTGACCCAAACCTCCCCAAAACAAAGCAGACTAAGAGCTGGTGCTCTAGAGCAGGCATTTTAATCTGGGATGCCCCACATTCTTATCATGGGAAATGCAGAGGTAGATTTAGTGACATGGACTTGCTTTTCTTAGACCTTTTGTAGACTCCTTAGGCTTGTCTACACATGTCTCTGGAGAACAGAATGAAACCACTACTCTGAGACTTCACCAAGTAATATGGAGGCTAGTGGAAGGATTCCTGTCAGCTCTGAGTGGAAAGATTCCTGTCAGCTTAGATCCTGCGCGTTGTGCTGAGGACCTCCTGCAATGCATTGAGCATGTACTTTTATGCTGGATTGTATTTGGCTTCTCACAGGATCTGAGCTTGGGGATGTTCTTGTAAAGGCAGCCTCAAGTAAAAATTTCTCTCTCCCTCCCAAGTGATCTCAGCTCATGAATTTCACAGAACCTGGGACTTCTCTGGGGCTCACAGGACCTTCCCATACTTCCTGGTATACACCTTCCTTTCCTTGACGCAGGGCTTGGTGTCAGCACCCATTCAAAGGGTGGAAGCCCTGGTCTTCAAGGGGTGTCTTGGCAGCACCAAGCACCTTCATTGCTCCAGGAGTGAAGGGTGCTGGGCATTCCCCTAGGGTGGGGTTTGTGTCTTCTGGACACAAGCCATTGGGGAAGGCAGTGCTGAGTCTATCCTTTGACCAAGTACAAAGAAAAGTCCAACAGGGCCCACATTCACCAAATTGAGTCACTTTGTTTTACTTTTGCCACACTGTGTGCTTCTTTTGTCGATTCTGAACTGTCCTAACTGTGGGAGGAACATGCAGTAGTCTGTGATCCATCTTTGTGTTCCAGCTTCAGGAGCTGCTCTGCCGAACTGTAGGTGGAGGTGGCTTCTCTGGTTGCAAATTATGGCTTGGTTTAAACAACAGCAACAATACTTTTCTTACACCAAAATAAAATAGATCACTGTATGCTTTGTTGTGGGGAGTGGTTGGAGAAGAGAGAATCACTGTTTTTTTGGTAATCTTCCCAATCATATTTTTTTTGTCGACCCCTTCAAAAAAAAAGACTAAAAAAAATTGCACTCCAGAGAGGCAGGCCCAACTTCATTTCAGCATAATTACCTTGCATTCAGTTGAACTTCAGCCCTTCTGTACACTAACTCTTCAATCTAATTGTTTGATTAAACTCGTATTTCCTCCAGAAAGGTACATAAATAAGTGAATTGTTGAGCAAATTAAGAATACTTAACAGCATTGCATCTGAAAAGTAGTTATGCTGATTAAATTTTCTGTCCTTGAGGATTTTCAGGAAATTACTTTTGATCGTCAATAACACAATTAAGTAAACTACACGCACATTAGCATGAATAATTGATAAGAAATTATGTATTACCACGAAGCACTGATTTAATAATTCATGATGCGACACTCTAGTGACTGTGCAAAACTGGATAACATCGACAAGTCTGCCTGATGTTGCTGGAAATGCTGCAATTACAAACAAGTCCATAGTTTTGTTGTACAATAAAGAAAAGTATCTGATGCATGCTGTAGTTTCTGTTTGTTTAATACTTGAATAAATTCAGAAAGAAGACTCTGAAAAGTTCCTGTACTGTTTTCATTCAGATCAATTTTTCTGTCCAAGCATCTGCTCTCACATTGATGACCATCCAGTTCTGTTTAGACCACAGTGATGTTGCAGAGTTGGGGAGGCTCTCAGATTCCCAGCTGGAACATGCTGGGTGTCTCACAACTTGCAGGATGAAGGAAGTTTTGTAGAGCTCCCTATTAGGAGCAAAGTGGCACTAGTCTCCCAGGAGCTTAAGCACAAAGTTTTTTGGTGTCTGATGTGTCTGCGATTATAATTATTCAATATGATTTTGTGAGTGGTTGCTCTAAGTCAGCCATAAATGAAACGATTTGTATGTTTTGAGCCTGCACAACGCCATGTTAAACCGCAGGCCAACGCACCAACAATTCTTGCAGCTTCCCTAGGGGAGACAGATATATATTTGCATTCTCCTTAGCATGTTTGGGAAACCAGAGCACAGTGAGCCACATTTTCCTCAAGTTTTGTTCTGAGACTTGTCTGCTCAGGGCGTTGCTGTCCAAGGGAACATGCTCGAGGTCACTGAGCAGTAGCACAAGGGCAAGATCAAAACTCGAGGTCTGTGTCTCAGTCGTGCCTGCTTCTAGCCACCAGACCCTGCTCCCTTGCAGATAGATTGCCCACTGTGGCTGAGCCACCTTCCTTCTTTCTGCGCTCTCATATATCAAGGCTATGCCACTTAAACCCCTCCTGTAATGGCCATCTCAGTAGCTCTGATTAAGTCTAGCATTTAAAAGTTTATAACTCGGCTATAAAAAGTCACTCAGGCTGAACCCCAGTGTGAGAGGCCCAAACCCAAGGGGATGATTTACATGTGAGCTATTCCAAAATCAGCCTGCATGATTTTTTTTTCAGTTCTGTCAAGGAAAAAATGGAAGCCCAAGATTTGAGGGACAGATGTAAGACAAAGATGTTTTGTTTAATGGCTTACTGCATTGTCACTGATCCCATGCAGTAATTTTCTGTGAATTTCCTAGCATGAGCCAGGCATAGCATGAATGGCCTCTGTGCAAATGTCACTTTCACAACTTTGGTAAAGCATCTCCAGTCCTGGGCTCTTTCCTCAAGAAATCACAGACAGCCACAAGGCTCAGATTTCCCCGCATCCCCCACCTTCCCTGCATGGGCCATCTCCCTACATCCTCACTCAGTGCTCTGCAGAAAGCCTGTGGTCCTGCCTCCAGCTCTGGTGCTAGCTCTCAGCTTGTGCCATCCTCATGCCACAGTGTCCCCCCAGCCCCACGCAGAGCCCTGCCCCAGTACTGAGCCCAGCACCAGGGAGATTGCGGCAGAGCCAGTGCTCAGGGGTTGTGTGGGGGTTATTGCAGCACGTTGGTCTGGGTTTTTCTAATGGGTGTTGTTACAAAATGCCAGGCTGTGGGACCTTCTTTATAAGCTTGCATGCCATCTTCTCAGTCCTCTATGTTTTTTATCTCTTGTATATATTGAGGCCTCCTTATGCCTACATACATTGTAGCAGGAAACATGAAGCAGAGAATGCACCTTCGCTTGGTTATGCTGTAGGCTAGTCCTTCTTGTACTGCATGCTGGATAGTAATGAAATTGTTAGGCTAATTGGCTCTTTATTAAGAGTATTATTTACAATGATGCTGAAGGCCATGTGCATGCAGAAAAAGATCTTGGTATACCATTAAACTCTTCCCTCTTGCAGTTGGTGCCCTTGGCAAGTTTGAGCTGACCTTCTCTGCACCTCCCAGACTACTCGCCCTTCCATGTCAGGGCCAGGGAGAAAAGTGTGCTGGTAGGGCTGTGTCTGGGAAGTTTGCACTTCTGCTGCACACTTAAGCTTTCTGCTTCCCTGCAGCAGAAAGAAGCCAGCACAGTGCGGGAGGAAGTCGTTTGCTGCCAGGCGGACCACGAGGGAGCAGGGGATGGAGATGAAATGTTTGTGGTGTGCTGTTGTGGCACATTCTCCCTTTAAGAGAGCTGTTACTCAATAAAGATCCTGTTGTGCCTGGCTGTTTGTGCGGTGGAAGCAGCGTGTGAAGCAGGGGAAGTGAGAGGCCCTGAATTAATACTCAGGCTCTGAGTACATAATTCAGATCTCTCCACTGAAGAGTTTGACACTCCTGCCATAAATAAGGAGCAGTAGAGTACAATAAACTATGTTTTATTCTTTCCAGTTAAAAACTTCCTTTACACTGTAGTAAAATATTGACTTCAGGTGACCATATTACCGCAAAATATGATCTTTTGCTGATACCAACCAAAGAAGCCTTTACATAGATCTGGCCTGTGAGAATGAGAATTTCATTGGCATATAGCAAATCCAGCCTATTCAGAGTGATGTGTCAACAATAT